AATTTCTCAAGTGCACGACGCAGTTTCACATGGTTCTCTCGCGGAAGTACAGAAACTCATTTCAGAGGAGCCAAAAAAGAAATTAGCTATTGCGAAAGATTTAGCTGGCACTCCTCTACTCCACAAGGCAGTCTATTACGGTCAAAAGGATATTGTTGAGTGGCTCGTGAAAAATTATCCTATCACTGTTCAGCAGAAAGATAAAGTAATAATTATTATGACTCAGCACTTATTTCCTCTTTCTTTTCACTCCGTGTGTATATCTATGCACATATAGCTTTGTTAACATTATTTCACAAAGTCTTAAAATTATGTACAATTTGACATAAAAGCCTAATTTTATTTTGATTAGAATTGATCCAACCAGACCCTCGAATAACAATTTTACTATTTCGAAATATGATTTTGCAACAATTTCACTAACAAATGATTAGACTGTCGTTGCAATGATTGGAATTGAGTCAAATTGTCGTGCACCATTTACGAAACCGTTCTGATATCGTGATTCTGCCGTGACGATAGTGTGTACCCTTCTTGCGATACGTTCTACTGCTGAATAATCGAAGAGCCATTTTCGCAACGACGACAATGACGACGACAGTTGCCTTTTTCGGATCGCGTGATGTAGCTAATAACAAAGTGTAAACCACCTGTTCTTCCCTGCAGTCATCCAACTTTGTGTCCAGGCGCACGCAGCGCTTTTGATACGGCTCCTTACCCCTTTATTACCTTCGAACATGATTCAACCCTTGTATTCGCCGTTCGACCGATGTCGACTCCTCGCGTTTTAAGTCGCAATTTGCCGCGGGATATTCCAATGGTCGTCACGCTTTTTATTACCGTAAACGATCACTCGCTGAACTGCTATATTGAGAATAGGGATCGTTTATGGGAGTGGCTTAATAAATTAATTTAGTCTGGGACGATTGTCATGTCCGATTGACGCATTTAAGGTAATTGTGCCAGTGACGAGATATGTAAATGCAAGATACACATTTTGAACTAAGTTTTCGTTACCACTCGTTTCAGTTTAAGTCCAATTGTTAATTTGCAATAAAATTTGTATTGAGGAGAACTT